GGCCATCGTTTTATAATTTTGCCCCTAAACCCCAAACCCCAAACCCTAAACCCTAAACCCTAAACCCCAAACCCTAAACCCCAAACTCTAATTGTTTGGTACAACCTGAGCCAGGGGGCCTGGATCTCCTTCAGCGTGGTGGTCTCTTCTATGAGTTGCTCGATGTCCTGTCCAAATGAATTAAATAATTAACTAATTAATTAATTAATTAACTAATTAGTTAAGTAATTAGTTAGTTAGTTAGTTAATTAATTAATTAATTTAATTAATTAATTGAATAAATAAATAATTAATTAATTAATTAATTCATTAATTCATTAATTAATTCATTAATTCATTAATTAATTAATTAATGAATTAATTAATTAATTAATTAATCAAGTAATTAATTAATATATATATATATACATATAGATAGATAGATAGATAGCTAGCTAGCTAGCTAGCTAGCTAGGTAGGTAGGTAGGTAGGTAGGTAGGTAGGTAGGTATTATACAATAGAGGTCAAGGAGTTCTGATTTCGTACGGAATTTTTTGCGGGCTGGTGGAGTTTTCGAAGGTTAACCAGCATCCTGTGTGGAGAAGGGCTTGGTTGCTTTGTAAGGGTTGCATACGGTATTGTACGAAGGAAGCCGACAAAGTCTATCTGACATGAGCGTCCACAGAGAATGAGCAACGTCGAGGAATGCACTCTCGTAGACTTTACATCACAGATGTCTGTAGGTGTTCGGGTTTCAGGTGTTGGTCAATGATGGGCTTGCCTCAGGGCTCGTATGCCAGAAGATGCGTGTCCGGGTTGTGGTTTTGGGGGCTCGATCTGACATGCTGAGCTTGTGAGCATGTGGGGCAAGGCGGCGGGCTTCTAAACCCTCAGCCCTAAATCCTTAACCTCAATCCCCAAATCTTCTAAACCCTAAGCCCTCAAGCCTATAAACCCCAAGCCCAAAATACTTACATACGCCTAAACCCTAAACCCTAAATCCTCGAAACCCTAAGCCCTAAATCCTTAACCCTCAATCCCAAATCTTCAACCCTAAACCCTAAAGCCTCTAAACCCCAAGCCCTAAATCCTTAGCCCTAAACCCTAACTAAATCCTCTAAACCTTGAACCCTAAATCCTCTAAACCCTATGCCCTAAATCCTTAACCCTCAATCCCCAAATCTTCTTAACCCTAAGCCCTCAAACCTCTAAACCCTAAGCCCGAAATCCTTAACCCTCAATCCCCAAATCTTCTAAACCCTAAGCCCTAAATCCTCTAAGCCCTAAGCCCTAAATCTTCAACCCTCAATCCCCAAATCTTCAACCCTAAACCCTAAAGCCTCTAAACCCCAAGGTCCTTAACACTCAACCCCAAATCTTCAACCCTAAACCCTGAACCCTAAACCCTAAAACCCTAAAACCCTAAACCCTAAACCCTAAAACCCTAAACCCTAAATCTTCAACCCTGAAGCCTAAAGCCTCTGGAGCTCGTGGCTCGCAGGGCCTGGCCTTCTCCTCCAGCGTCGCCCGGTGCTTTTCGAGCTCCTCCTTCTCCTGGAGCGACTTCGGGCGTGCGGGGGAGGGGTGTAGAGTTTGCAGAGCGTTCAAAAAGAGACTCCAACAACATAATAACGGCTCTCTGTTCCGATAAGAGCCATATAAGTTATATGTGAGGATACCCAGACCTGTTTGGAGGGGCGGTCTACAGTAGAGTTCGAGGTTATGTAGGGTTTAGGGTCTCTAGGTTTAAGGTTTAGGGCTTTAGGGTTTTAGGGTTTAGGGTCTATAGGTTTAGGGCTTTAGGGCTTTAGGGTTTAGGGTTTAGGGCTTTAGGCTTCAGGCTTTAGGTTTTAGGGTTTAGGGTTTGAGGGAACCGACGGGCTTTAAAGTCTTCAAGGGTTCTCAGATCATAGAGCCCCCCGGGTCGACGGTCTTGAAGTCTTACGGCTTGGTTTGGGGTTTAGGGTTCAGGGTTTCGGTTTAGGGTTTAGGGTTTAGGGTTTCGGTTTAGGGTTTAGGGTTTAGGGTTTCGGTTAAAGGTTTAGGGTTTAGGGTTTAGGATCAGGGGTTCAGAGGTTCAGAGCTTTTATGGATCGAGATCTACAGTTTCGTAGGCTTGGGACTCAGCGTCCAGGGCTTGGGATTTTGGAGTTGGGGCTTGATGGAAGGGTTGGGGTTTAGAGTTTAGGGTTCAGGGTTTAGAGTTTAAGGTTTAGGGTATTTAGGGGATGCACCTTGTAGATTGTAAGGCAAACATCAGTCGATGTAGTTCGTTCTCGGAGGGACAGGGATTTATATTGAAAGTAGGTTCCAGGCCTGACGTGCAGGTTACTGTCTTGTTGGTTCTACTGCCAGTTACTATGTGAATACCCACAGGGTAAGGTCTAAGTAGCTGAAAAGACACGAGTGCAGCAGAAGACGACTAGGAGACCGAACAGATACTCGCGAGGAGACCACGAGGAATCAGGATACCACTCGGAGACCACCAAGAAGCACCAGGACACAGCGAGGAGATCACCTCCACATTATGAGGAGACCACTAGGAGTTCACCAGGAAACCAACCAGAGACAAACGGAAACGCAAACCAATCCTCTTCACTCCCAACCTTAGCAGGCCGTTGTGTGTACTATTACCTTGGGGCTTTGCGTCAACCACCCCCCCCCCCGCCTCCCCGCAATCGCTTTATGAAGATCCGCCCAAGCCCGAACCCTAATCCTGAAACCTGACACTCTAACTAACTCCTAAACCCTAAACTCTAAAGGGTTCAGGGTTGAAGGTTTAGGGTTCAAGGTTTAGGGTTTAGGGTTTAATGTTTAGGGCTTAGGGTTTACTCCAACTGAACCTCCAAGTCCCTCAAGCTCCTCTTCCTCCACCTGCTTGCTGAGCTCCTTGGAGGGGCGGCTCTCCACGACCACCTGGCAGAAGAGAGGAATTTCGAGTGCATGCGCTTCGTTTTCAAGGGGTGCATAGGGCTTAGGAACAAGAAGAACCCCGGTTGCATCTAGCCAGTGTTGCTTGGGGCTTCTGCGTTCAGAGTTCTAGACGTTTTAACTAAACCTGCAGTCGAGAAAGCTGCTTCAGCTAGGTCGTTGCCTTTCGGAGCACCCTACCATGTGAAATTAAGCCGGACGGACTCCTAAAGCACTAATCCCTAAAACATCAAGACCCTCAAACCAAAAACGCCCTAAGACTAAAAGCCCTAAACCCCCCC